AAAAAAAAAAAAAAATTATAGAAGCCAGTTCACTGGCAGCCAGCTTAGTCAAATCAGTGAGCTTCCAGATCTGTGAGTCACCCTGTCTCAAAAAAGAAAGGTAGGGCTAGAGATGGCTCAGCAATTAAGAGCACTGCCTGTTCTCACAGAGGACCTGGGTTCAGTTTTCAGCACCCATATGGTGGCTCACAACTGTCTGTAGCTCCAGTTCCAAAGGATCTGACACACTCTTCTGGCTTCCATGGGCTCCTGTATGCACATGGTGCCTATATATACACTCAGGCACATACATATACACATAAAATTTAAAAATATTAAAAAACAAAGGTGGAGAGTGATCAAAGGAAAAAAAAAAAAAACCTCTAGACTTCACATGTGTGCAGAGCTGCATTCACACATGCATACAAAAATACATACATAAACCACATACACATCACACTTCCCCCTCACCCCTTAATCAAATAAAGTAACAAATAAAGGACTTGAGTGTCGCAGATTTAAGTCTGAGGTGGGTACTGGAACTACTGACCAGTGGACAGCAGGAATTTTATTATATGATTTCATCTTGATTTTAAGAGCATGTAAATCAGATGAAAATAAATTACTACATTAATATGAATTAATCCTTTGAACAAATGTTTAGAAAAACTGCTCGCAATGTTTCTATTCTAAATGAGACAACTGAGTCAAATGGATACAGGAAACGATAGTTTCCTGAAGGCAATGGAGCCAAGGCGTGACTGCCCTGAAGCTCAAGTACACAGCAACTAACAACAGTTCTGTCCCACAAACCAACTTTTCATATTCTGAGCAGATGTATCAAGTGGCATGCTTACTTGCCAATGTCATATATCATATGTGTAAGACCTAAAATTGTGGCTTCCTAAGTCAGGCTCTCTGTTGCCCTTCTACATGGACAGCCACTGGCCCCTTCATGCCATTTTGTTTTAGTGATTCGGTGACCCAAGATATTCAACTGGAAAATTTTTTTTTCTTCATGGGAAATAATTTCAAAATGCTGCCATGTGATTGTGTGCTTTTCCCCTCTGGAGTGGCTTTTCCAGAAAGTACTAGCAATTAGTATGTGAAAACCTTTCAACCCACATCCAATTTGGAGTACTATATCAGTGGCCAGTCATCCCAGGCCAAACCTGACTTGCTCCACAGAGTTTCAGGCTACACCAGGGCTATAAAATGCTACCTTTTAACACATAAAAATATGTGGCCTGTCATTTGGATACAATTTTGTTAATAAATTACTAAATTCTTTGAACATGAGGCAGTAAACAAAGTAGATTAAAGATTAAGTATGATTTCTAAAGAAGTTTACATTATTTTTTTTGTGTGTGCATATGTGTACACATGTGTGAAGGTTAGAGGGCAACTAGTGGGAGTTTGCTCTCTCCCTCTACCATGTAGGCCTCAGAAATCAAACCAAGGTCATTAGGCTTGGCAGCAAGTGCCTTTACCCACTGGGTCATCTTACCAGCTCCCTTAAGCAACAATGCACATGCTAGGTCACTACTCCCAAGGTGGGATAGCTTTGGTCAAGGATTATGACTAGTAATCACAGACTGGCAATGAAGAAAAATAAGCAACTAAAATATCTACTTAAAGGTCAGATATGGTGGTGCACACCTTTAATCCCAGCACTTGGGAGGCAGAGGCAGGCAGATCTCTGAGTCCAGCCCAGCCAGGGCTACTACATAGTAAGATAAAACAAAAACAAAAACGAAACCTCAAAATATCTACTTAACAGGTAGAACAAGCAGGACAGTTGTAAGACTAGTTCATAGAAGAAAAACAAGGGGAGCAGAACCCATCGCAGTCTGGTCTAGACAACGGGGACTGGAGACACACCAGCAGCACATCCAGAAGAGGCTATGTAGGCTTACCTACCTCTTGGCTGAGGCTGGAGACTTGGCCACAATGACTGCATTCCTGTAATCCGGGATCTGTAACAGACAAGAGGTCAGGAGTTACTACGAGGTCTCAAAAAGGATATTCTGACAACCATCAAAAAGCAACAATCTGCCTGGCGTGGTGGCTCAGGCCTTTAATCCCAGCACTCGGGAAGCAAAGGCAGGTGGATCGTTATGAGTTCAAGGCCAGCCTGGTCTACATAGTGAGTTCAGGTTAGCTGGAACTACAGTGAGACCCTGTCTCAAAAAGTCAGAAAAAAAAAAGCAACAATCCAACATACTCAAAACTCTTATCTGCTTACTTGGAAGCTTTACAAAAACAGAAAAGGTTCAAAGAAAGATTCCCCTTTGGAAAATGAAGATGACAATCTTCTCAAAACGAATATTACCTATATAGAAAAAACTGATAATGTAGTACAAATGTGCTCTTAAAAAGTTATCAGAGGCCAGGACAGTGGCACACGCCTTTAGTCCCAGCGCTCAGGAGGCAGAGGCAGGCAGAGCTCTGTGAGACTGAGGCCAGCCTGGTCAAGCTCCAGGCTCGCTGGTGCTGCTTTAAAAAAAGATGTTAGGACACTGAGGTGGTAGTTCAGGTCTTTAATCCCAGCACTTGAGGGGAGAGGAGAGGCTGGTGAATCTCTGAATTCCAGGCCAACCTGGTCAATTTAACAAGTCCTAGGCTACACAGTGAGACCCTGTTTCAAAAACAAAACAAAATAAAAAATTAAAAAAAAAAAAAAGGTTTAGTGGCACACATTTACAATCAGCACTCAAGAGGTAGAGGCTTACTTGGAAGTTTTTTTTTGGTCTTTTTGAGACAGGGTCTCCCTGTAGCTCCAGCTGCCTGGAACTCACTCTGTGGACCAGGCTGGCCTCAAACTCACAGAAGATCCACCTGCCTCTGCCTCCCGAGTGTGCCACCATGCCTGGCATTTACTTGGAAGTCTTACAAAAACAGAAAAGGTTTCCTATTAAACCTTGTTCTTTATACATATGATTTCTATTTCCAAATAGAAATAGGAAAATAGGAAGATCAGAAGTTCAAGGACATCTTTGGCTATGTAGTGAGTTCGAGGAGGGCTACATGAGATCCTGTCTCAAAGACACAAAACAAAACAAAAAGCAAACAAATAATCGGCCTCTTTGGGAACCTTTTTGCTGTTGAAAAATTAAGTCCTCAGTGCTAAAAATGATTAAGGAAGATGGCACCATTATGACATCTGTGCAGCACAAGGAACTATTTTTAAGCTGAGCAGTTGTTTGTTGTTTCTGGTTTCATCTTGGTAGTATTTTCAAACTATATTCTTTTTTTTTTTTTTAAGCATTATGAGTACACTGTCTGCCTGTAAGTGCATCCATGCTGTATATAATGCCCACAGAGGTCAGAAGAGGATGTCAGATCCCCTGGAAGTTACAGACCTTTGTTAGTTGCCATGTAGATGCTAGGAACCAAACCCAGATCCTCTTCAAGAGCTGCCAGTGCTTTTATCTGCTGAGTCCACTCTCTAGCCCCTCAAACTATATTCTTGAAGTTGCTCGATTTGTTAAGTGCCCTTATTTGACTGAAGCACACTTCCAATGCTGTTTCCTTAATCACATGGTGAGCCTTAACACAGGTAGCTATAGCATCCAGCACCTGTGCAGTGCCCAGCAGGTCAGAAATCCTAGACAATGGGTGCTCAGTAAATGAACAAAACACTGACTGGCAAGATGATGCAGCACAGCTGCACCCAACCTGTGCGGACAGTGTGTAGAGGAAAGTCGCCCAGGGTTCTCCAGGAAAAAGGCAGCAAAATGCATCCTCTTAGGCACTTGGCTTCAGCCAGAAGTCTTTTGAACTGTGTCTCATGCACTTCCTTTCCTCATCAAACACCATCACACCCACCAAGAGAAGATCTAACAACCAACAAGGCCATTAATAAAATGAAAGAACTCTAATAAAAACAGGCTCATTTTCTCTTCAGAGGGTAAAACAGGAAATCATATGCATAAAGGACAAATTTAATGATAAAGAACTAAGAAGAAATCTAGGAGGAAGCAATTATATCCAAATAACCAGCTTAGTAGCCAGCTGGCTGAACAGTAGATATGATGCAAATAACAAGCAAACCCAAGAGGATATAGCAGATCTCCCACAATGCTGTATATAAGAATGCAAAGATCGTCGGGTGTGGTGGTGCACGCAGGTGGATCTCTGTGAGTTCAAGGCCAGCCTGGTCTACATAGTGAGTTCCAGGACAGCTGGGGCTACAGGGAGACCCTGTCTCAAAAAACACCCCCCCCAAAGCAAAGATTAGGCACTGGAGAGATGGCTCTGTGATTAAAAGCACTGGTTGCTCTTGTAGAAGATGGGGTTCAGTTCCCAGCACCCACATGGTGATTAACAGCCATCTACAACTTCAGTTCCAGTACCTCATCTGGCCTCTGAAGGCATTTCATGCACAGGTGCACTTATATGCATGCAGGCAAAACACTCATACACATAAAATAAAAATAAAGTATTTTTTTTAATGTAAAGATTAAACCAAAACAACAGCCACGTGCAGCAATCGCAACACTGCAGAAGCAGGAGGACCATGAGCTCTAGCCCAGCCTGGCCTACCCAGTAAGTGCCTATCTCAAAAAAATAATGACACTAGGGGCTGGAGAGATGGCTCAGCTGACTGCTCTTGCAGAGAACCCGGGTTTGATTCCCAGCACCCACATGGCGGTTACAAGCCGTCCTTAACTCCAGTTCCAGGGTAATCTGAAGCCCTCTTCTGACCTCCGCGGCATTGCACAACATGGGTGCACTCATTTATATGCAGGCAATACACTCATACACATAAAATAAAAATTAAAAAAAAAGAACTCAAAAAACAAAGAATCGAGAAACCAAATGACTCTATTAAAAGATGGGCTAAAGATCTAAACAGAGTTCTTAAAGGAAGAAATAAAGATGGCTAAGAAACACCTTAAAAAGTGTTCAACACCATTAGTAATTAGGGAAACACAAGAAAAAATCCTAATTTTTCACCTTACCCCAATCAGATTGGCTAGGATCAAGAGAACAAATGATACCAAATGCAGGCAGGTAAGGATGTGGAGAAAGGGGAGTACTCATTCACTGCTGGTGGGATTGCAAACTCGTGTAACCCCTATGGGAAACAGTGTGAAGAACTCTTAAAACACTAAAAATGAACCCACCATATGACCCAGTTACACCACTCCTTGGCATATACCCAAAGGACTCACCCTATTGTAGAGACACTTGCACAACCAGGTTTGTTGCTGCTCTTTCCACAATAGCTAAGAGATGGAAGCAACCTAAGTGCCCCTCAACTGAGGAGTGGTGTGCTGGATAGCTTTAGTGTCAACTTGACACACCTGGGTTGAGGGAGCCTCAATTGGGGAATTACTTTCATTGGACTGGC